CCCCCCCCCCCCCCCCCCCTCAAAATTAGTATAGATTTTCGCCGCCGAAAGCGCCGTTAGATAGTTTTTAGGGCACTTCACTAGAAATAGATATTCTAAAATAGTATAAAGGGGAGACCCTTTGGGTCGGCAGGGGTTCGAATCTGATAGATATCCCAAAATAGATATCCCAAAATATCCGATAGATATAATACACAGGGGAGACCCTTTGGGTAGGCAAGGGTTCGAATCCCTGAGGGGAGCGTCTGATTATATAAATTTCCCGAAAAAGTCTAAGTGCAGGGAACTTATAGTACAATTGAAAGCTATCACCTTAACAAAAAATATAATCTTTAAAAAACTGAACAGACGCAACGAAAAAGAACAAACCATCTTTTCAACCTGCAATTGAACTAAAAAAAAATTAAAGCGAAGTGAAAAATGTTACATTCACTAATTAATACCCATCATAAGATGCCAATCAAATGAATGATGACGTGAATGAGTTTCGTTTTGCAACAGTGAAATACACATTTTCTTTTTTTTTCTAAAAGTTACTACCATGTTACATGCTATAAGCATAAGCAAACCAAAAAAGAGATCAAAAAGAGAAATTTTCATTATTTAATGAGAAAAAAAACAGTATTTCAGATAAAAAAAAGATATCAAACGTAGAATTTTTCATGATTTAAACGGAAAGTATCAGTACTGCAGTTGATGATGTGTTGAATCATTTTCGAATGTTTAGCTTACATATATTTTTCTCAATATTTGGACTTGCAATATTGCAATTAAACATACATTAAAACAAAACAGTTCCCCAACAAGGAACGCCATGCCTGAAAAAAGTAAAAAAATTGTCTCATTTGATTCATTTTATGCCAACCGTCCTATTAAGTTCTTTGAAAAGCTTGCATTTTCAATTGTTTCATGTGGTTGTTGGCAGGGGCGGATCGAGGATTTTCTCGAGGGGCGCGGAGTTTCGAATATTTTCCAGACTTTTTGTTAGGTCGACTTGTTTGATTTTCCGAGCTCGCCCAAAGCAGTAAAAAGGCCCTAATTTGGCCAAACCTTCTGCGCCACAGGCAAAATTTTGAAAAAACAGGCCAAAAAAGGTGTTAACCAAAAAATGCGTTCTTTCGGCGCGCGCGTTCCTCCCCCGCCACTCAGAATTAGTATATATTTGCGCCGAAAGCGCTGTTAGATAGTTTTTAGGGAACGTCACCAAAAATAGATTTCACAAAATAGTACAAAGCTTAGACCCTTTGGGTCAGCAGGGGGGCCAAAGCCTGATTTTGGACCTAAGCCTGATTTTTTTACCCAATTTTCCCTCAACGTGTTTTGCGCTTCACAAAAAACAACAGTTCTTTACGATGATTTTAACTATTAGGTATAATTCATCTAACTAGTTTCGTGCTTATAAAATTCTCATCATATGAATACATTTTTGGTATGCGGGAGAAAACTTTAGCTAAAAAAAAACGATCTTTTTACAAGTTTGCCTTGAAAATGTTTCTGTTTTCGCATCCTATTTTTACATTTTAGGGTCAACGTGTACGCAAAAGTCTTGATATTTGATAAAATTTTTCTTCATTGATACAAGAATTTAAAAAAATGACAATTTTAATTCAACTATTTTGATCAAACTTTTGATATCTGCAAGTAGGAAACTTAATAACGCCTTTCAATCAACTCTATTAAATTACATCTACAGTTTGTGATAGTAAATTGAGTCAAACCTCTAAATGAAATCTACATAGGCCAAATATAATTTTTTTTTCCTCGAAGAAATTTCAGATACATGAGTAAATAGTATGGATATTAAGAAAAAATCTTTGAAAAATAGACTAGTTGCAATTCAACGCAGAGCCACTTAAGTGTGTTTCGATTTATAAGTGATTATTGTTTTCATATTTTTACATTTGTTTAAAAGCGGAAACATTTGTGAAAATGCAACAAAAAATAGTATAAATTAAAAAATAAGTTTTTTACACTAATTAGTTCTTTTAATTTTTTTTCAATTCTGACAATGATTAAAGTTAAATGAAATAATCGAAGAAAAACAAACAATTTTTTGTACAAAGTTTTGTTTGGAATTCTCAGAATTACATCCGTTGTCAAAAAACAATAAAAAAAGATGACATTTGCAAAAAAAATAAATCTATTAGAAGACTGTTCCATAGATTGAATTGAAGTTTGATCGAACAAGATGAAGAGAACAAAAAAGGGATATAAAACTTTTGAAACTATGGTAATTTGTCAAATGCTATAATTTATTTAGGTACAAACTTGATTCATGCAGTTTGATACAAAGAACGCAGCCTTGTTATCTGTGTTGTGTGTTTTTTGCTGTTATTTCTGTCTCATTTCAATTATATTGAATAAATTATATAAAACCGACCTTAACTAATTTTTTCTCAACTTCAACCCTTTCAACAAAAATAGCAAATAGTGATCTGAAATTTTTTCTTTTTGTTTTCTTTTGCTGGAAAAACAGCTTAAGAGCAGGTGCTGCTTTTCGTTGTTTGTATGTAATTTGCTAATTTGAACGTTTCGTTGTCATTTCAAAAAATCTTAAATTGCTGTAAATGACTAAACTTGTGAAACAAATAGCGAAAGCCTGTTTCAAAATTTTAATGCAGAAATTCTAGTCTTTGAAACGAGCACCTCAATTTTTCTACATCTTTTTGTTTGATCCAGCTAGAACTAAAAGTTTTTGAGCCAATCCAAAAGTTTTCGACCCAATTTTCGAACAACACCCAATCCAATCTTAAAACAAAACGACTCAAAGTCAACACCAATCCAACACCAAAAAAACAAGTTGAAAGGTTAACCTGAACACTCACTTAAAGCAAAAAAAAATGACATACATTAATTGTCAGTTGTCAGTTTAGGATCATCTAGTTTTCTTCTTATTACAAATTGCGATGAAAAAATTGTGCATGTTTGAATGTTTAGTTTGCATTTAATATTGCTTTATATAGACATGTGTTGTAAAGTTTGGTTCAGATTGCTTATTAAGGCCGTAAATTTTTGTACTTAAGAAGCAAATTCAGTTTCTACAATTACACTAATTTTATTAGCAGAGCTAATTTTTAATTTTTTTATAGGTTTTACCATTTCTGTCTCTTTTTTTCAATTGTAAGTCAAAACCTACAACAGCTAGGTTATATTAAACCAGCTGAAAATCGTAATATTAATTTATGTAAAATATTATCAAAGTAGTTTGCTTTTTTAAGTTGAAATCAAAATTGATAAAAATCTACAAAACAAATTTTTTTAGCCATTAGAGGTTAACGCTAATCTAAGTAGAATGGTTGAACATGGTGGCGTTGAACATTTTGAGTTTTTTAGGTTCAATCTACTTCGTGCCTTGCTCGACTTTTTCAGTATCGCTTATTTTTTTTACCTCTAGCTGTAGTAGCATGTTAGGTCATAATCGCAAAGTTAGATGTCACAGCTAAGATGTTAAGTCTTAATAGCTTTAAATTCAGGCTCTTGGTATTAGTTTATTTGAGCTCTTGACAGTAATAATTGAACTTTTGACTTCATGCGATATACATATTGAAACTGCTTTTAAAAAAACAGCTTTTGTCAGTTTTTTATTTGTCTTGTCAAATTTTAATTTTGTATAATTTTTTTTTGTTTTCAGTTTTTTGAGCAAAAACGAAAAATACTGGAGTTTAAAATAAGAATTCTTCTTTTTAATTTGTCACTCGGGCTTCTTAACTAAATTTTCAAAGATTTTCATTTTTTTTACACTTTCAAC